AAAAATGTCCCTGATGTTGCATGTTTAATTAAGACAGTTAAGGAGATACTGTAAGTCTAAACTCAACAGTCAGACTGTGACAATGAAAACACCAGGTATTAGTATTGAAGGAGATGCCAGTCAACTGAAACGGAAGTGCGAGCATTTCTTTGTGTCCAGCAGTTGGATCAATTGTGTGACATTTTTTGCTGAAGTTGTAAATCAGAAAAAGTCCTTGAATTTCTGTGGTGTTTGTGATGTCAAGTCAGCATCTGCTGCACAGTTAGTGAACAAGGTGTTGACTTTCTGGTGCTATGAGAGACTAAATTGAATTGTCCATAGCATAATTGTAACTTCGCTAACAAGTAAGTTTGACACAAGCGCTCACACGCAAACCTCATAGTGTATTCAACAATTAAAGTGTGGACTATGGGGCTGGGCAATGTATTGATATTACATTGATAGTGAGATAAAAGACTAGATATCATCTTAAACTTTGAATATGTGTTGTCCTTTCCTGGTTTTAAAGGCTGCATTACAGTTAAGTGATGTACTTTTCTGAACTTAACAAACTGTTCTAGCTGTTCTATCTATCTTTAGCCACTTAATCAAAAATATATCCACATTACTGATGATTATTTATCAAAGATCTCAATGTGTAAATATTTTGTGAATGCACCAATAGTCAACCCTACAATATTGTCGCAATATTGATATTGACGTATTTGATTAAAAATCTTTTGATACTTCATTTTCTCAACATCACCCAGCCCTACATGATGATATCACCAAATTCACAGTTAAGGTCTCCAATATTTAGCTTCATGTTCTAATGCTGTCAGATGGGTTTCAGTAAGTGTCACACTGGGATAAAAAAATGTTTTCCCATTGACACTGGCATACCTGGCAAAGGTGTCCTTCAATTAGATTCAGTGCAGTTCAGAGGCCACTGTATGCTTGTCTAACAGTGTTAGTGTGGCTGGTGGATTGGCAGCTGGTATTTAGGACCAAATGGATTATAGTAAGCAGTCTGTTTTTTCTTAAGTGTGTTACTGTTAATTTATTATGTTGATCTGTTCTGTACGACATCTATTGCACGTCTGTCTGTCCTGGAAGAGGGATCCCTCCTCAGTTGCTCTTCCTGAGGTTTCTACCGTTTTTTCCCCGTTAAAGGGTTTTTTTGGGGGAGTTTTTCCTTATCCGCTGCGAGGGTCCTAAGGAAAGAGGGATGCCGTATGCTGTAAAGCCCTGTGAGGCAAATTGTGATTTGTGATATTGGGCTTTATAAATAAAATTGATTGATTGAATTTATTGTTAGTAATATGCCTCTCTTCCTCCTCTTTACACGTATCTTTCTACACAGACAACAGCAAATGCATACAGTTGAGTCATTGCTTTACAATGCAAATTTTCATAATGAGTTAAAAATAAAACACTAGACACACAAGGTTTTTGTGCCTTGAGATGTTTGAGGATTGCAGTGTGAAAAAATAAAATTAAAAAATTTAGACTTCATGTGTAAAACTCCTTAACTCAAATGGAAGTTCAGCGTAGACAAACAACATCAAAATTGAGAAGACAAAACAGGAAATGAATTGTTAACACACTGAAAACAAAACTAGAGCCTATGTGGTTAACAAAAAGACAGGAAAATGTTGTGTAAAAGAAGATGGCGGGATGAAGATAGGAAGGCAAGAAAAGAAAAGCTAAAAGACAGACAGGTTAAGAACACAGGGGCTACACTTACCGCAGGATTCTTTATGTGGCCGTGGCGGTGGAAGCAGTGGCGGGCCCTGTCTGCTTGTTTTCTTGGGCCTGCGGCTCCAGCCATTTCCCCTCTTCTTCCTCCTCCTCCTAGCAGATGGCCCAGGCATTGGAGGGTAAACTCCTGACAGAACATAAATGAAATTAGTTTGTACAGTTAGACAATAAGACATAAGCATGGATGGAGCTGTATTTGCTGTTTTATTTCTGTTCCTATCTGCCCTATTTCTGTTCATCACCCCATTTTTATCTGTTTCTGCTGATATTTGATCAAAACATACTTTCTGTCCCCTGTAGAAGGTTCCCCACAAGCTTAATGTATGTAAATTAGCACCAAAGTTGGACTACATTTTAACCTGGGGGAAACTACTTCAACTTAAATGCTGTACATGTACATTCCTAGCACAACAGAGGGACTGAACAAAGTGTCAGAAAGGATGCCATTGCCTCTTCACCAAAAAACAGGTCCTGGCTTTAAGTGCAGTGTAAAAATCTGACATGCTGTCAGGAATGATAAACACTGACACTGGACAGTCCCATTTCTTGACTGATTAAAAAGGTTTGTGTAAACACTGTAGGCTATACTTACCAGTTCTCAAATGCTGTGTGAAAGATGAAAGAGGTATTTCTGTTGGTCTGTAGCTGTGTTGCATTCCAGAGGCAAACACCACATCTCTATGCTCTATTCCATAACTTTGTCCAAATCTCTCTGGAGACACTGTAAACAAAACAATCATCAAGCTTATTAGGGCAGGAATGCAGTTATGGCTGGCATGTTCTAGCACGCTATCGTAAAGTGAGGCAACTTTGAAAGCACGCATCATAATCTCAAAATCTGGTAATGAGCACCCCTATGACTAATCCTCACCTGTCCTCCTTTTCTTATGGGACACTAAAGGCAGCAGATCATGACGTGTAAGGACTCTGAGTAGTTGCATTAGTGGCTCCAGGTTGCCATCACTGAGGTATCCTCGCCTCTCCAGTTCCAACAACAGGTCAAGGCCAGTCTTGGGCTTATATGAGGCTACAAAGGGATGCTGGGAGCCCTGAGGCTTTGACCGCATCCAGGCCTTTAGAAGCTCAGGACTCGGGGACATGCCCATGTCATTTGGATCGCCACCACAGGGCTCAACTGTCCAACCAGTTGGATCAAAAGGGTGTGGTGCAGGACAGGTTTCATCAAGAAGGAATGACAACACTTCAATGTCAGTCTCTGTCAGCTGACAACCAACTATTTCAAAGACCTCATGGAGAGACAGCATCCCATAGTAGTTCAGGCACTCTGTTTCATCCCAGTAAAGTGAGTCCCTGAGTGGACACCCTGGGTGATGCACTGCGGCCATGGGTCTGCCTACAGCCCCTCTCCACCTTCCCACCTGTGTCAAACTGTTCAGGATAAAAACACAAACACACAAGGCGTCCATTAGACATTTAAAACTCTAACTTTCCAGCTGAGAAGTCAGGAAATAACAGCATATGATTTGTAACCAGTCGCTTAGCACAACGAGGCATGCAGCCACCAAAACAAGTTATGCTGTACTTTACTGCAATATAATTGTGCTTGCTTTTCTTGTAGAAATTACAACTTTTTCACCTAAGTTTGAACTCTCTATGCACTCACTGGTTCCTCTCAGCGGTTTCAAAACAAAATTGAGTGAATTTATACACAGTGTTCGAAATGCCAATGTCAAGGTGTGTCTTAGCTGGTCTTTGTTATCACGTGTAGCTGCTGTTTTTGGAGTTTTTATGGTTCATTTCTAGTATATATTAACATACTTTTAGGCTTTTCTTTGTAATAATCTTATTTTGTGTTTAATAATGCTTGCTTTAGAGCTTTACATCTTTAATATCTATATTTGTTCTGTGTTGTCTCACTGTTAACTTACGTTGCTGCCTGTCTTGGCCACGACACTCTTGAAAAAGAGATTTTTTTTTCTGGGTAATTAAAGGTTTAACAAAAAAAAAAAAAAATTACAGTGAGACGTTAAAGTGAGTGGCTCCTTGAAAAGCTTGAAAACATCATGTCTCGACAAATGGCAGCCAAAAGCTGTAACCCATATTCCTCGTAAACTAGCAGCTAGCAAAAAAAAAAAAAAAAAAAACCAGCACGCCGTTTACGCTAACATGTTAATGTTATGGTGACATTTCAGCGTCACGCTCGTGCTGCCGTCTACATTGTTTCAAAGCCCGTTTTAGCAAGCTCAGCAGACTTACCTGTTTTCGGAGTCACCTCGACTCCGTCTTGAAACATGCAATGGTAACTTGTATCAGCTGTGAATGAGCTTTGTCGTCGTCGTAAGGCAGGTGGAAGTCAAGGAGACTAACGTTAGGCGTTCCTCCACCACCCAGCAGCAAACGTTGGAGCAAATTACCCCCTTGGCATGTTACGTAATAACGTTTCTCTGTGGGGGAAAAAAAACATGACAGGCATAAACAATACGCCCTTCAACAGCTGTTTTGCTTAATGACCCAGCTTAAAGAAAATAACTAGTACTAAACCTGGTGCAATATGACACATTAAGCATATATCCCCTTCACTAAGTAAAGAAATTTCCGATGCATTAGCTATAAAACATACAAACGGATATTAACGGTTATGTTTAGCTAAGAACGTTGTTAGCTAACGTTAGCTACACACGGGCCGTAATGGAGACGGGTCCCCCTCGGTGATATCAATGATAACGTAAATACAAACTGATATAAAATTGTTCGGTGCATTTTAAAGTGACAATTAAACAGTTAATGTACCTTTAGACTTGTCGTTCCTCGTCAAGAGCGTTGGATGGTATGTCAACTCCCACAGCACCGTGCAGCAGCACTGACAGCTGCACAATAACACACAGAGAAACCGACCAATCACAGCCCTCCGCCTGTTCGATGACGCTCGGTCACGTTTTAACTTTACTGATCTGCGGTCAGATTTTCTCCACGAGATCCTTGTCGAGTCGGTTGAACTGGGAAAAAGACAGCCGATCCCAAGTCTGCTGTTTGAGTTGCATTGTCAGAGAGGTTATCGCTAGGAAAAACAGAAGTCCTGGCAGTTTTCATCCCGTAAAACATCGCCTCCCATACAGAAAAGCCATCATGAACTCACATGACAACATTTAACTAATATAAAATATTCTACAAAGTAACGTAGTTCTATGTCTTACTCACCAAAACGAAGCTTGACGAGCAAACAGAAAAACAAACACCCCAGCAGAGGATGGGTGCTCCCCGGTGCTGTCACTAGGTGGCGGTGTTTTTCACCCAGACACCAGGAAGTTAAATAACATCCACATCACATCCGTGAACCAGAACAGCAACAAAAGGTCTGAACCAGTCCCACCCAAGTTCTGCTGTAAGTATACTTTGTCAAACGATAATACTTCAAACAGGTCTGGTCTTCTTTCTGTTCGTCTTTAAATAACCACCCACCAGCGTGTTCAACATCTCAGTGTAACATTTATCTATCTGCCGGGACCTGTACAGTAGTGGAGATGAACATTAGCAGAGAAGCTAACGTTAGCTCTTCAAACAACCAGCAAAGTTGTTTTTGCTAGTTATGGTTTATTAGTTTAACTGTAGATATGTACGTATTTTAGCAACGCTATCCATGTTACGACATACATAGGTACTTAAAGGATGTATGTTGGCAACAGTATCTTGTGTATCCTGTTTTTAGTGATGTGGCAGTGGCCAAGCCCTTTATTGACTAAAATTTTCCATTAGCCACTGCACTGTAGCAACATCCCTTTACTACTCTGCATGATTTGTTAAGTGTAGGTATCTAACTGCTGTTATATACGAATGAGTTACACATTAGTTACTAACTTGCTTATTGATCCAGCGTACAATGTCTTACTTTTCATATGAAATACTGAGGCACTCGCTGTAACTCCACCTAACCATCATTATTCCTAATTGATTAGTCATACAGTAATTGCAGATTATATAATAACCCACTCTTCACCTTTGTAAAGTTATACCCAGCAAATGTTTGGTGTTTTGTATTTAATAATTGTCTGAATTGGATTTTATTAATTAGCCTATCTGACAAAGACAAAACAGATTAATCTAGTAAATGTGTCAGCACTAGGGTGATGCTTTACAATAATTTCAGGCCCTTAAAAATCTTTAAATGTCTTAATAATATTTATAGTAGGACTTAAAAGTCATCAAATAGTCTTACATTTGAATATGATAGGTGCCACAAACATTTAATCTAATTTTATTTATTCATCTTTTAATTTCATCTGTCAAAATGAGTCAGGCTCCTCTGCGTAAAAGTCCACATTTCTCGCTTTACAAATCTTTAAACCCACCACAGAACTAACTAATACGTTATGCTTGCACTTACCTGCTGGCAAAATGTAGATCAACCTAACTCACTCTGTTAACCATATTTCCTTTGTAAAACCTGCTTCTGCAAGGAACCACACATATATTATTATCCGTTATACTTACCGGCAATTTGTGACTAAGAAAAAGATGATTTGCTCAAAAAAGAGTCTTCAATAAAGAAATATCTTGAAAAGATGTTTTTAAAGCAAGAAATTTAAGTGTAGGCTAACTGTAGGCACCCTGGATCTGTTTTGCTGAGTATAATAAGAGTTTCTGTCAAAACCCCTTGTTGATACCCAGCACTATATCTTGCTTCTTTGTTGGTGCCTGATGAAACATCTGCTACATTGCCTACCCATCTTTGTAGACAAAAAAATGAATAGATGGAAACAAACAGCAGTGTTCAAATGGTATTCACTTTCTGATGTTTGTGTTATTATTGTTGCCTTGCAGCAGACAGTCTGTAGATGCCATCTGGAGTTCCAGTGGGGGAGAACTGCCTTGTAGACATGGACAGCAAGGCTGGAGATCTGTTCAGTGCCGAGGATGCTCATCCAACTGGCACAGGTGGAGGTGGAATCTTGGCAAAGTAAGGGCCTATATTTTTATTTTTATTGTGATATGTGCTAAATTCATCACACAATTGTAATGATAATGCTATTATCACAAGGGCTTGTCATTTTATGTTGCTCCCTTTAACCCTGTTGAGATATGCTGGAGTATTTGCTACTATTGTTTATCAGTGCAGCCAAATGATATGAATTAGTCTCTCATAACTGATATGTCAGAGCCATCATGGGTATTTGCAGCCTACAATTCTGTAGACTTGTTTATGAATTTCTTGATACTTCTCTCTGTTTTCAGTTCTGAATGTGTTTTGTCTCATTTCAAAGGCTCTGGCTGCCCAAAGGATTCTCAGCCAGCATGGCTAAAGAGTGGATCGACAGGCGTCGGGTGTCCATTCGACCTTGGTCCAGCTTTGTGGACCAACGCAAGTTTTCAAAACCCCGCAACTTTGGAGAGTTGTGTCAGAGGGTGGTGAAAAATGTGGAAGTGTATAACAGCAACTATACCTTCATCTTTCTGGGTCTCATCCTGTACTGCATGTAAGACAAACAAAGAGGAAATCATTTGTGTTGTTTTTGTTTTTCAGTGGGAATGTTTACTCTTTCTCCTTCCTAGCTCTTACTCACATAGTCTGTACCTGTAGTGTAGACACAGTCAAGAGCTTCCTGGGAGGGTTTTGGCCGCAGGGTATATTGGAAAAGAGAAAGAGACCGGTGTGCATGAGATCTGATTAAAAAGTAGAATATACAATCATTTAAGCTTTTAACTAAGACTAAACTCGATTTAACAATATGCCGCTAAAAGTAATACTAAACTGACTAGATTATTGGTGTTTCTGCTCCTCAGTATCAGCTCCCCTATGCTACTGATTGCCTTGGCTGTGTTCGCTGGTGCCTTCTACATAATTCACCTCAAGTCCCTGGAGTCCAAACTGGTTGTCCTCGGTGAGTAAAGCTGTCAGGTATGCCTTGTAGTATTGTCTCGATACTGAAAGTTCTTACTTTGATACAAAACCTAAAAAAATAACACAGTGGAATCATATTCTTATATGAATAACATAATCTTATATGTTACCTTTCTGTGATTATGACAGGTACAGAAACACATTAATTTAAGACTGTGTTTGGCTAGTAAAAGAAAATTAAATATATCATTCCTTTTATATTGATACCAGTCAACTGAAACATTCCTGCAAAGAGGCAGCACTAAAATATTTGTAATAAGTGGTGTTATTTTTTGTTGTTGTTGTTAAATCTGTTATTTTCATGTCAACCAGGCAGGGAGCTGAATGTCCCTCACCAGATGAGTCTAGCTGGAGCTGTTTCTCTACCTGTGTTCTGGCTGGCCGGAGCTGGAGCTGCAGTCTTTTGGGTTCTGGGTAAGCCAAACCTCATTAGTTGTTCTCGCCTCCTTTGATTTTCTGGGCCTGCAGAAATATTTGTTGCAGGCCTCATCAGAGCTCTGTAACAGTTGTGTTTTTTGTGATATTATTTCTGATCAAATCATTATACTGTAACATTCAGTGAAGTCTCTGTGTACGCATGTGAGCTCTATGACGCTAACGTAATTGTAAATGCATATGGACCCTCTGTCTAAGAAACACCTTCCTCCTCATTGCTTCACACTCCCCTTTTTACATTTGTCACGTCTCCCCTCAGGAGCGACGCTGTTTGTGATTGGCTCTCATGCTGCATTCCGTGAGCTGGAGGGGTCCGACATGGAAGAGCTCCTCATGGAGCCCGTGTGAAGAGCAGGCTGAACCCTCGGCAGGCGCTGGTCGACGATCAGTCATGACTCTGACCCTAAAATCATGTTAGCCCAGAGGGGTTGAGGAAGAGCTGCTCCTAGATTGGTTCCTTAGCTATGTGTGCATCCCATATTCCCTCTGTTAATGCACCTTGTCTTGCCTCTAATGTAAATGTTGTTACAGACTGTATTGCCTTTCAATCGAACTCATTCATATGAATAACTTGCCATATGCACAAATAATTTGTCAATAAGTATTTAAGCACATGATCATACAGATGTTATGCCTTTCTCTGCATATATTATACCTCGGATGCCTCTGGTTTGTGTCAAATAGCCTCTCGCTTCCCTCAACGTCTCTTATTCAGTAACATATCTTTCCACTTATTAATCTCTAAGGACTGTCTGTGCTGTAGATATCCTGAGAAATAGCTTCTGTGTCTGGAACGTCAGACTGCTGCTTTCTTACGTAACGATAATGTAAATGCAACGTTTGCAATTCTAAACTTCTCAAAAATGATTAATTTTCCAAAGGAAAAGTGCCATGTAAAGCTTTAAAAATATTTATCTTACAATGACCATGCACAAAGAAAGCAAAACATTTCATTCAAGAGGGTATAAGACAAACTGGGTATGCCAGATAGCGTATTTAACATAGATAAAGGTCAGTACATAGTAGTGATGTTTTGTATTGGGGATGTTATGGTACTGTGGTGACTGTTTGTATGCATATTTATCAGCTCTACTTACAACATTCAGATCTGAAGGTCATTCTGTAAACCTGACACATTTCTTTTTTTGAAATTCACTTTTCATTTGTTTACATCTATCTGTAAGTCGGGTGTTTTTGTATTTAAATTACATTTTGGAAGTGCAATAAACCCCCTGATGTAAATATAACTTGAAGTCGATTCCTTGATATTTTGTCTCTAATTAATACAAGTGATTCACTCTATTCGGCCAAAACTACAACTGGCTCCTGTTTTTGCATCCATGGCAGGAGTTGGAGTGAACTCAGTGGCCCTCAGCACTTAGTCTGTACATTTTCTCATTATTCTGGTCGGGTGTGAATACACGGTGGAATAGGACAGTTCCAACTCTCATGTCTCCTCGTTTCTGTCTCTATCTCCAGTACACCAAACACTGCAGCACTCACCAACCCCCTCTTGTCCCCCCCTATGGACCCCCTCTTGTCCCCCTTTTTTCATGTGACCTCTGTGACCTATGCTCCGTGACAACACAGCAAGAGGACCCCATGCTCAAGTTGCCATGGCAATGACCTTGGAGGGCCCCAGTCAGACACACACACACTCGTCCAAAGACACACTCGCTTACACACTGCGGCAAAGGCGAGCGATCGATATTCTATTATACGGAGGGTGGCGAGGCGAGGGGGGGGAGAGAGAGGAGAGTCGCACTGCAGTGAGCTCACTGCAGAGACACAGGGGAAATTAGACAGCGGGTGAGGGTGTGAGCGTGTTTGTCAGTGAGAGTGACAGAAAATGGGTGTGCATGTGTGTTCGTATGTGTGTCGGCTATGTATGAGCAGGAGACGCTGCATTTGTCATTGGACAGTGGCAGAGCAGTGCCAGAAAGTTTCTGTGTTCCTCACTCAAAGGGACTGAACGTCCACAGCATGTGTGAAAGTGACCTCTCAGACCGCACAGTCCTTACCTCTCACATTATGAAGCTGTTTATTGTGTATAATTTTTTTGATTTGTGTACTAGGTGGGCAATAAGGGGCTCATTTAAAATAGATGACCCTTGTGGCACAGAGAGGTAGCACAATTACAGGCTGTTCCCACAAGATGAAAGATATACTGCCTTGCCTTATTTGCAGGAATGTAACCTTTTGAAAATAACTTTTATTAATCATAAAAGTTGCTATTCCTTCCTGAGCACATCATTCGTGTACTATTTTTGACTTCTTAAAAGTGTTGAAAGATGAGATTAGGGAAACAATAGAACATTATTCCCTTTGTAAGACTCTCCTCCTGACAGTGACTCTCATCCTGAAGCTCACGACTGACACATTTACAGAGAGGTTTGGTGCATTACCCTGGGCCGCTGCCAGCTCTTCCTCTTATGGCATGTTAACATCATGCAGTTTGCAGGTTGAAGTGCATATAAATTCACGACACTAGGTGGCATCCCATCCTCATATTTCTACTGTCTTTTACACCACTTCTGACTAAAATCAACAAATTTGCACCTTAGTGCGATGAAATAATGTCTGATAGTTTAATCTCATATTTGACTGTATGTACTGGAATAAGAGTGAGTCTGATATATGGGGTATTCAAGAGGTGGAACCAAGATGTTGTTTTGCAGATCACAAGTAAATTTCAAGTCTTAGCGCTCAAATCACAAGTCAAGACCCAAGTCCTAAACTTTGAGTATCAAGTCCCAAACAATTCATAATGTTCTCCACCAAACATTTTAACAAAATATGAACAATCTATTGAATTTACGATAATCATGAATGCTTTTAAAATTATATTCAGGTGTTAAAACAAAGTTGTTGGACTCTGTTTGTCACCCATAGTTTTGGTACCTGAACAAAATTATCTTTGGTATCTTTTTTCCCAGGTGTTGCTCAGTAACATAATGTTAGTTCTTCATGGTTTTCTCTTGCAACTTGTATTTTGCTGGATTGCTTCAAAACTAAGTGGATCTTGCAAATTAAGTGTTGACTTGCTGGGAATTAATAGTATTAACGTAAGTGGATTCAGGAAATAATTTGTGGCATACATAGTAAATAATGTACTTTTCAATCTTTGTGCGTGAGGGAAGGTATCAAGTCTTTTCAAGTCAAAAGGCCCAAGTCCAAGTGATGTCACTGGTGGTAAAGTCCAGGCTGAGTTGTAAGTATTTTTTGATTTTATTGAGTCAGGTAATCAATTAAGTAATCAAATTTGTGACTTGGGTCTGATTTGAGCCCAAGTTATGTGGCTCAAGCACTCGCATATCGGGTACTCCAATCAACAAAAATACTTCAAGGTATCATTTCATGTGAAATGTAAGAGGAGGTGTTATAATTAACATGTTACAACTGACAGTAATATGGCCTAACAATTAAATCTTATCATAGAGATCAACACATTTTTTGTGCAGGCTTACAAATCTAACAGGTTTCACAAAGCGGTCTTTGTTACAGGTCTATTATAAGAGATGGCATTAATTTCCTTTAATTTGTCATAATATGAATCCTTGATGACTGCTGCATATAAAAAGACATTTCCAAGAAAGAGCAGTAATGAAAGATAATGACTAAGTGTAGTGAGTAAAAACAGAGACAGAAAGACAGACAGACAGGTCTAGGTTGTATTAAATGTTCTAGATGTTTTATTGGTGTTGGTTTCATTTATTTGACACACATGTTCTACTAGTTGTGGTTTTTTTTCTTCTTGAATTTCAACTCTTGCAGCCATCTGAGATAGACCCAGCCTGAGACCGCTGGCCCCTTCACTGGTCTCCAACACATACATGCACACAGACCCAGGCTACAGTGGGACCTGGACCCGATCTGGAAACAGACCCCAGGAGCAGCGTCGGTCTCATCATCACCACTCACCACATCACAGCACACTGCACCACATCATACCGGCACACCTGCAGTGACAGGAACCTGAAAGCCTTGGTTGGTGTCTTGTGTCTTTTGGTAAAAACACAAACCTAAAACCCTGCTCTGCTGTTACAGTTTTAGAATAGCCTCCTGAAAAACCAGCAAAAAATAACTGAAACCAAACAAAAAAACAAAAACAAAAGGAGAGACATCTCTCTCTCTCGTGTTTTCCTATTCCATCCATATTGTTGATGATCTTCTTCATGAATGTCTCTTGAGCTGTTTTTCAACATGTTTTTTTATTGTTTCATTTAAATTCAGTATAGAATTATATAGATTTCCTAGAGCACACAGAAAGATTGAGTTGTATTTACCAACTTGGGAGTGGGGTGGGGGGGGGGGGGGGGTGTACTGTAATAGTTATTAACAAGGACAATGGTTCACACAGTGCACACAAACAGAGACAAAAGGGGCAGGAGGGAGGGGAGGGGAGGGATGTGAGAGACAGAGGGGGAGACAGGGGACAGGACGCCATGGGGTGTGCTTTGTTAGGCCTAAATGAGGAAAAGCAGCTCTCACGTACCCCCCCTCCCGTCTTAGAAATAAAAAAAGACAAATAAAATCATCGAAACCCCCCCTGTGCCCCACATATTAAAAAACAACAACACTGTGGCCGTTGAGAACGGAAGAGAAGGAAAATGGACGTGGCAAGAACGACAGGGAGATGACCACTCCGCTGGTCCTCCACAGACAGGAGACGGAGGCGAGAGGTGGCAGTCGAAGTGGTGTCGGCGGTGGGATCTCACTGTGTGATCTTTACATCTGTGTGTGATTGGAGGACAAGCTAAGGGTTGGCGAGGAGGGAAAGAGAGAGGGGAACGAAGGTATAGAGACAGACGAAGGGGAGAGAGAGCAGGGGAAGAATAGGGGAGGGCGAGGAGCTGGATGGCCCTTTTTTGCAGAGCATAGACACTCCCTTTGTATCCTTAGCTCATTCAAATCTACATACACAATATGCAGCTGCCGTTTGGTAGATATATTGGTTTATGTACACAGCAGTGAGAGAACACATGCAAAGAGTATCATAGGAGATGGGGAGAAAGGGGGGCGGGTCAATGTAGAAAGTTGTAAAGGTGCTTTTGCTGTTTTTAATCTTTGGGGCAGTTGTGATGAAAATTGCTTCAAAGCGGTTTTTGTCTTTAAGAGGGCGGGGCATCTGGAGGTGTGTCTTGCCAGGGATGGAGTGACAGGGGGGAGAAATAAGTGGAAGATGGAAGGGGTTTGAGCAAAGATGCTCCGTCGATCAATAGTATGTCTCCTTTTCCACCCAACCTGGAGTGCAAGAGAGAGAAAGAAAAACAGAAAAGATCATCATTAATGTTTTCACCTCATATTTTCTGAAGATTTTCTCTGAATTAGCATTTGTTAAAGGACTAGTTCAACAACTTGGGATAACACAGGAGTGCTGGACAATTTCTTGGTGCGGTGCACTGGCTTCCCTGAGTCTTGTCATTGCCAAGTTGCCAGGAAACCAATGGAGATTCCAGAAAGTTAATGCAAGCCAAGAAATAGCCCAGCACATACCGCTACAATACCATGCAACATGAAGTAATACCTACTTGTAATTTTTTCTACTATAGGGAAGAAGCCGCGGACGTTACTAAAATGATGCCGGGGGCAACTGTTTCCATTGTGTCTTGACAGAAGAGGTCAATTTTTGGCAGTTTAGACAAAAAAACTACCTGGTTATGGTCAGGAAAAGATTGCGTATGTTGCTCTGAGTAGCACAAATGCAGCTGGAAAGGCAAAGAAACGCCACAACCAGTGTTGCTGTTTGTTGGACTGGAATATGGCTCTTCTGGGTCAACCATTCACCCATTCACCTCCCCTCCCGCCCACCTTGCATGGACTTTTGTGCTCTTTCAACTACATCTGTTGCTCTGAGTGTATAATGGCATGATTGGGTTTACAATGAATTTGGTGGAAAGCCAGGTGCGTCCCCCGGCAACATTGTACTGACACCGAAGAGGTGCTGTATTTTGACACCCTGGGAGTGAGACCAGGCTGAATCACAACCTCCTTTTAAGAAACTATGGTTTAAGAGGTAATATGGACAAAAATACTAACCTCCAGGGTTCCGACGGAGGAGAAGTTTTCGAATTTCATCATAAACAAAGATGAGAAAACTATAGGGGAATGCACAAAACCACCATGTAGGCCTGTGAACAAGAGAACAATGGGGATTAAACATAATCAAGTAAACATAATATATCTTAATATCAGAGTGGGTGCATATGTATCCATGTGATATATGGTAAAGGCACTCACTTTAGAGGATACATCCTG